CTCCTCACATCTGGCTGAGGTCCCTCCTGCTGCTGGGTGAGACCGGCTGTTTGCTCTGGGCCCTGCAGTGCTATGGCCCAGCCCTCCCTCGTGGCCTCTCGTGATCTGGGGTTCTCTGCTGGGCATGAGGGCCAGGGTGTGGGTAGGGATGTGGGGTTGGTTCAGTCCATGCTGCTCTCCAGACGGGCTAGTTCCCCACTGCTCAGGTGTGGATGCCCAGGGCTGTCTGAGGTCCTGCCTGGCACCCCTGCTGGCCCTGGGAATCTGGGGCTGGGACTGGCTGCTTGCTGCACTCATCTCCTTGGCAGCTACGGCTGGGGAATCCTCCCAAGGTTGAATGTGTTATCGTAGTTCCCGGAGCCCACTGCGCCATAGTTCTGGGCCTGGCAGGAACATTCCCTCCTCCTTCTGGAGGCCGCCTCCGGCCTCTCCTCCTGTCTTTCCCTGCAGGGTTGGCCATCGCTAGGCTGGAGGGTGTGGGAATGGGCCTAGCCCTGCCCAGGGTTCCAAGGGGCATTGGTTTGCCTGTGGGTGTTGGGGAGACATGGCTGGGCAGTGGCATGGCTGAGCCTTGCGGCCCAGGGCTGGGGTCTCCAGCCTGGGGCTTCCAGAGTGGCTCACGCCTGTCTCTTTGGGGGAGGAGGCAGACCCAGCCCCTTCTTGGCCAGCAGAGCGCAGGTTTCCACATCTGAATGTCTTACCACAATGTCTCTCCTTGGCCTGTGGGGTCAGGCCAACATGGAAGGTTCTGGGCCCTCAGTGCTCTGAGCACGCAGGTACCGCTGTCCTGGACACAGCACGCACCCCAGGGTCCTCTCAAAGGGGAGGAGAAGGAAGGGGGTCCTTGGGTCTCCCGCCAGCTCCTGTAGGTCTGGGGAACACAGCACGACGGGGCCCAAGAGGCAAGAAAGGCCCTGGGAGGGAAGACACTTTGTCTCTATCCTGTGCCCCGCAGGATTCCAGCTCAGAGTTGCACCACGGGCTTGTGGAGACACTGCCTTTGTGCTGCGGGCTGGGGTCCCTCCCCCCGTCCTTGTGCCTGGGCCAGCCCTCCTGCTACCCGGGAGGCTCGCTGGTGCCATCTGTGCCATCTGTTCTGAAAACTTAAAAAACAAAACTTGGAGCCATCGCCGACACTTTCCGGGGTGGCACTGCCAGGGGAGGGGTGGTCCCCAGAGCGGTTTTCCTCCGTGGAGGGTTTGCTGGCCCAGACGTGGCAGGCAGAGGGTGGGAGCAACCTGCTGTCCTCCCTGGCCAAGCTGGAACACACTGGAACGTTCAGAGGGGCTGGCTGTGGGACTCTGCGTGGTCGTGACTGCTGGGAACAGCCGCAGATTTGCATATCATCATGTCAACACGCTCCCTGTCTCCGGGGCTTGTGGAATGTTCTGAGATGCCTGGTCAGAGCCTTGTTCTTTTTTAATTTAGAGGAACATTTCTTCCAGCATGAGGACCTGGCCTTCGGGGACACAGCACCGTGACTCGGCAGTGGAGTCTGTGGGGCTGTCCCCAATCCCCTGCCCTGTTCTGCAGTCTGGTGAGACTCACCTTCTGCCAGATCCCCACACGCCCTCCCTCTTCTCCCCTGGGGCCTCCCTCCCCACGTGCTCTTGCTTCTGCTGGGAACATGCTTACCTCCTACTCTTGTGGCCGAGCGACTCCTTCACCCTGCAGGGTCTGTCCCGGTGGACACATCCTCGGGGAAGTCCACCAGGATGACGTGTCTCCCCTGGGGTCCCCAAATCGCACCGCTGTGCTGAGCTGGGTTCCTGTGTCCCACCTGCGATAGGGATGCTTCTGTGCCCCCTGCATCTCTCCGCTGCCCAAGCCTCCTAAGTCCTAACTTGGAACCCTGCTCCCCTTCCCGCTCCTTCCTCACTGCCTGAGTCAGGAGAAGATGCCACCAGGCAGACAGAGAGCTCGAGTGGAAGGCACATGAGACGTCTACAATTTTTTTCCAGGGCTCAGTTAATTGAATAAATTGGCTAATGAGCCAAGGAAATTAATTGCGGTTTCGGAATGTGACGTTCCTTTGCTTGTGTTTTGTCCGTGCCAGTGGGCACTGGTGTGACTTTGTTTTACACTGCTGACACCTCGCCCAGGAGCTGGGAAACGCGGGAATCGCGTCAGACATGTATTTGGGGGCCTCATGCCCAGGGAGGGGCTGCGTGACTCCAGAGGCCACGCCTGAGCTGGAAGCTGTCGCCGTGGGGGTGGGCGGGCTGAAGACTGCGTTGTCTCTGTGGCTGCTGTCATTGGCCTCCTCAGGCTTTAGGGTCTGGCTGAGTTTTGGAGTTCTTGGTGCTGGTGTGCTGATGGCTGGACCGGGTGGGGCCTGGGGCCTGAGTCAGTGGTGGCTGTGGTTGGGCTCCGGCTGGACCACACAGCATCGAGCACTGAGGGACCCTCAGCGGTGCCCCCAGGGCGGCTCATGGTCTGGACTCAGGGCTGGGTAGAGCTGGAGGGACGCAGGGTGGGGACCAATTTTGTCCCCTTGGGGCCTCTGTCTAGCTTGAGTTCTATGCTGCTGCCCGACCCTCAGCTCAGCTGCAGGGCCTCTGCCCCTGAGAACGCCGCCCCGCCCGTCCACCTGGCCAGTGTGCTGGCTGGTGTGCTGGCGGGGCCTGGGCTGTGGCGCCCCTGCCGGCCTGCACAGAGGCTCCCAGTTCCCGTTAGTCGGGCACTGATGGCTCCTGCTGCTGCTGCTGCAGGCACGGCTGGCCATGGAAGGGGGGCAGCTAAGGGCGCTGGGCAGGTGCTGCGTGTGGGTGTAGACTTTCCCTGCGAGACAAGCCCGCCTGGCGAGAGAACCCGCTTCCTCCCCACAACTGTCCTCGGCATCGATCGGGGCATCTGGAGCCTGCACTGCTGAATCAGCTTGTTCCCGGCTGGCACGCCTGGGCCCCTGGCTGCGGCCCCTTTGTCCTCTCTCAGCCCATGACTGTCAATTTTATGTGAGGACTCGGCTGGGCCGTGGTGCTCAGTTGTTGGTCAAATACTGTTTAGATGTTACTCTGCACATATTTTCAGACGTGAGTAATGCTTAAATCCTCAGACTTGAGTAAAGCAGACAACCCTCCACAATGTGGGAGGGCCTCGTCCAAGTGGGTGAGGCCCTGAGAGCAAAGACAGAGATTTCTGGAAGAACAGTGGGTTCTCAAGACTACAACATCAACTCTTGCTGGGATTTCCAGCCTGCAGGCCTGCCCTACAGACTTGCTGGCCTCACAGACTCCTGACCTGATCAATGCTTTAAGATAAACCTAATGTGCACATACCTGTGTCCTGTAGGCTGTTTCTTGGAGAGCCCTGGTGGAGACGTGGCCTCAGGGTCCTCGGGTCACAGTGTCTCCCACCCCTCCCTCTGCTGGGAGGGGATATGGGAGGACATCCCAAGCAGAGGCTTGGGATATGGAAGCCAGTTGGGACGGAATGGACCCCTGCTGTCCGCAGGTAAAAGGGTGCTTCTTGTACCTCTGGGCTCCCAGTGGGCAAAGGGGGACAGATCTGAGTGTTGACTTGAGCCATGACACTAATGACTTTATAAGATCTGCAGCAAAAGCAGATGCTTCAGCCGGGTGATGTTGGGAATCAAACACACACACAGAAAACCACCACGCTCTATCGGTTTCCTCTGGGAGATCTCAGGGAGCCGATCCAATTTTGAAAACCAATATAGAAAAAAAGAAAAAGAATGAAGCATTTGTCCTTTATTTATAGGAACCTTAGAATGACCAGTAGGTGATGTTCTTTTTCTAGAAGTTTTTCTTTAAAAAGTTTCCACCTAAGAAATGAAGGACTGCTAGACTGTCTCCATTCTGCAGCCCCTACGGCATTCCTGGATCTGGCCTAAGGGTCAGTGACTGCAGATGGCCCAGGGGCTCCGGACACGGCGAGCCTCTTGGGAGGACACGGCAGTCTTGCTGAGACTCCAACTTATAGGACGGAGGAGCACGGAACAGCACTGTGGGCCACCGCCAGTGGGCACCCAGGACAGGATGACAGCCATGTTCTTCAGCACATGGATCGCAAGGGGCCAGTCAGAGGAGACTTAGGGACAGACCAGCCACTGGCAGCCGTTGGCCCCCGTCTGTGCCCTGATTTGAACACGCACACTTGTGAGCTGTGCGGGGAACTGCGGACACTGACTGGATGCTTGCTGATACCGAGGGACCACTACTGGCTTTTTAAGGACAACAGCGATACTGTGGCCATGTCTCACAGAGCTGTCCTGTCCAGCGGTGGGCACTGAAGAATTTACGGTGTGTCAGAGGAGGCCTCATGGCTAGGAAAGAGTCACAGAGCATTTGGGAGAATTTTGGTGTGGCCGTGAACTTGAGTATCTGAGGGAAGGGTTGAAAAACGATCAGTAAGCGTCGGGTAATAACCGGGGAGGGGAAGGGGGAGGGAAAAGAGGAATTATGGCAGGAGACCTTGGCTGGTGGGGTGGGGGCTCTGCAGCTTACCAAGGAGAAACTTTGAGCCTCCTGGCAGCCAGGGCAAGGCCAGAAAGAAGATGATCTGAGAAGTTCTTACTTCATATCAGGTTTAATTGGAAGATAAAGGTTTTCTCCTCCTGGCCTAGAGAGGAAATGGTTGCCTACAAGGAACAGGGATGAGCGTGCATTGAATGCCTCTGCGCAGCAGGTGCTGTGGGTCTTGCTCATTTTCTTGTCCTGCAGAAGTTGGTGGGCAGGCACTGGTGTTCTCTTTTTATTCTGCGGTTTTGGGGACTTTCCGAAAGCACGAGACTGTCAGAGTGTGGAGACAGGGCATCCCGGACATGGTGTGCCGACCCCTATCATCACCCCATGTCACTGCGGAGTGGGGAACGGACCTGGGAGCGAGGGTGGCTGTGGTGCCTCTGACCCATGCTGGTTCTTGGTGGGGTGGGGTCCCACTTCCTGCAGACACAGCCTCACCGGCCCTCCGTTCCCCTTTCTCACTGTCGGGGCACGGCTGGGCCTGGCTGACCTGCCATCTGTCCCTCTGTCCCCCAGGTTCCTTCTGGTCTTCTCCTGCCTCGTGCTGTCCGTGTTCTCCACCATCAAGGAGTACGAGAAGAGCTCGGAGGGCGCCCTCTACATCCTGGTGAGCGCTGTATGGGTGGGCGCAGGGCGCAGGGCCCTGGAGGCACTGGTGGAGCCAGAGCCACCCCAAGCAGTGGACAGTGCAGATGGCAGTCTGTCCGCCTTCCCATGACTGTGGAGCCTCGAATGCCGGGGTCTCCTCTGATCCCCCAAACCTGAATTCCTGCGTGAGCCTGGCCCCTCCTAGGGCAGGGGTCCTGCACCCACTGCAACATGAGGCAGTGGACAGTGCAGATGGCAGTCTGTCCGCCTTCCCATGACTGTGGAGCCTCGAATGCCGGAGTCTCCTCTGATCCCCCAAACCTGAATTCCTGCGTGAGCCTGGCCCCTCCTAGGGCAGGGGTCCTGCACCCGCTGCAACATGATATAGCCCAATGCTCCAGTTCCACGTGGTGGCCCCACCGCCCCCTCCCAGCCTCCCTGCCCCCAACACTGTCACAGTGTCCTGTCAGCCCCCACCTGCCCCCCAATACCCTGGCCACCCATTACACCCCAGCACCACCCCTCCTCCCGTGACGTCACAGTGTCTGGCAGCCCCTACCCTGGAGGGTCCAGCTCCTCCTTTCCCACTGTCCTCGTTCTCCCTAGAGCCTGAGGCCCATGTGGCCCCCTCCCACACAGAGGTGTGAGCTGTCTCCCAGCAGACGTGGGTGCGGGGTGGGGGCTGTGAGGCTCACAGCAACCCTGAGATGGGGGGCAGGGGTGGGCGCCATGGCAACGGGAGTGTAATTTCTGTGTTGCTGTTGGTAACAGGAGTGGGGGCGGGCCCCTCAAGAAGACTGATCCCCACCAAAATGCACCTCCCCTCTCCCTTGCCTGGGGCTGCCTGAGTTCTGGGCGGAGGCTGTCCCCTTCCCTTTGCAGTTACCGGGGACCCTCCCTCAGCTTAGCCTTGCTGTGCCCCCCCACCATCAGACGAGGCAGGGCCCTCCCACCAGCTCAGACAAGGCAGAGCCCCCCACATCACTGGCTTAGAGAGGGCAGAGACCACCCCTCAGCTTGGGCAAGGAGTTGGGGAGGGTGGCCCCACGATAGTCTTTGGGCCCAGAGGTGCTCAAGGCTGCAGGATCCCCAGACAACCCCAAGCCCTGTGTCCAGAAGGGCCTGACCCCCTCCTGTTTGGAGGGTGGAGTGAGGTAGGGGCCTGTTAGGGGGTCGGGTCAAGTTTTCAGTTCCCTTTGGGGTCTCCCGGCACTGTGGCTCTGCCCTTGGGCATGAGCCCCACCCCCAGGCCAAGGTGGCCTCAGTTGCGGCCTCCCCATAGGAAATTGTGACCATCGTGGTGTTCGGCGTGGAGTACTTTGTGCGGATTTGGGCTGCAGGTTGCTGCTGCCGGTACCGCGGCTGGAGGGGCCGGCTCAAGTTCGCCCGGAAGCCGTTCTGTGTGATAGGTGAGGCCCAGTGGGGGGCCGCCAGAGTGGGGCGCGGGGCCGGAGGGCTGGGTGAGACCATGGGACTGTCTCCTGGAAGTCCTTTCTCATGGCCAACGTGGCCTAAATGTCAGGAGGAGGTACCAGGAGCAGGTATCCTGTCCCAGTCCCCACAGGAAGGGTGGACAATAGTGACTGTCCTCTCTGGGGCACGGGCTCCCCAGACCCCACATTGCACGTGTTGTATGCACCGCCTCCTCCATCTTTCCATCCTCCTGCAACTCCTGGTGGGGTGGTAGTCGGGTTATCCCTAACACCATTCTGCAACCGTGAGACAGGGGCGAGGAGGGGCTGGCCCCACACGAGCCCCACACCCTCTCCCACAGACATCATGGTTCTCATCGCCTCCATTGCGGTGCTGGCCGCTGGCTCCCAGGGCAATGTCTTTGCCACATCTGCGCTCCGGAGCCTGCGGTTCCTGCAGATCCTGCGGATGATCCGCATGGACCGGAGGGGGGGCACCTGGAAGCTCCTGGGCTCTGTGGTCTACGCCCACAGCAAGGTGAGCTGGCTGCGTGGTGGGCGGTTGACACCCCAGAGCTAGTGAAGGTGGCCCAGCCCGTGAGGCTGCTCTCCACCTGACCCTCCCTGCCCCCGGGGTTGCTGCGAGAGTCCCACCTGGGTGGGATGAAGGGTTGCCAGGGGGCTCTGCTGGACTGATCCTGGGCAGCCTGGTCAGACATGAACGAGCTTCCATCCCCTTTCTTCTTGGTGTTTCTTTCTATGACTTGGTCCATCTTTGTCATGTCTCCAGAAAGCTTTTTTGCACGGCCCGGTCCATTTCGGCCCACCCTGGAGNGGAAGGGTGGACAATAGTGACTGTCCTCTCTGGGGCACGGGCTCCCCAGACCCCACATTGCACGTGTTGTATGCACCGCCTCCTCCATCTTTCCATCCTCCTGCAACTCCTGGTGGGGTGGTAGTCGGGTTATCCCTAACACCATTCTGCAACCGTGAGACAGGGGCGAGGAGGGGCTGGCCCCACACGAGCCCCACACCCTCTCCCACAGACATCATGGTTCTCATCGCCTCCATTGCGGTGCTGGCCGCTGGCTCCCAGGGCAATGTCTTTGCCACATCTGCGCTCCGGAGCCTGCGGTTCCTGCAGATCCTGCGGATGATCCGCATGGACCGGAGGGGGGGCACCTGGAAGCTCCTGGGCTCTGTGGTCTACGCCCACAGCAAGGTGAGCCGGCTGCGTGGTGGGCGGTTGACACCCCAGAGCTAGTGAAGGTGGCCCAGCCCCTGAGGCTGCTCTCCACCTGACCCTCCCTGCCCCCGGGGTTGCTGCGAGAGTCCCACCTGGGTGGGATGAAGGGTTGCCAGGGGGCTCTGCTGGACTGATCCTGGGCAGCCTGGTCAGACATGAACGAGCTTCCATCCCCTTTCTTCTTGGTGTTTCTTTCTATGACTTGGTCCATCTTTGTCATGTCTCCAGAAAGCTTTTTTGCACGGCCCGGTCCATTTCGGCCCACCCTGGAGCCGGCAGGCTGTGTGGTCGGGTGTCTTATTTCCTGGGTTTTAGTCCCTGTATGAATACACTACCCTAGTTACCTGCCTGGGCAGTTGTTTAAACTGTGGCTTATGGTGGCTGCTGACTGGGGCTCCACAGGGTGTCTGAGTCACATGTCCTGTGTTCCAGGGGGTCCCAGGCCCCAGTGGTGAGACCCCGTCCTGCCAGACAGTGCTGTGAGGCCATCCTGCTCATGGGTGGGCAAGTGTCGGCCCCTCCCTGTTTTCCTACCGTCCTGAGCATGGAGGGGGAGGTGGCTTTGTTGGCAGGATGGGCAGGTGTTGGTCCCCCCTGGGGAAGGGTACTCACCTCCCCATTGCATGGTCCCTCCTTCCTCCCTGGATGCTGTGGGTGTTGGAGGGCTGATGGCGGCCATCGGTTGGGGTGGGCATCCTCTTCCAGAGCTGTGTCTCTGAGGCTCAGGGAAGCTGGGGGAGGGTCCCAACAGTTCTAAGATTCTCTGGCTCTGCCGGCTGCTGGAGAACACGCTCCCAAGACCTGGGTGGACGCTGGTGTGCTGGGCCAGCGTTGGCTGCTGTGTTCCCAGGTCTAAGATGTGCCGAGGCCAGGATTGTAAAGCCAGAGGCCCCTCCAGACTCTGTGGCCGAGCCCTCCGACTAGCGCAGGCCACAGGGGTTGAGCCACAGGGTCCAGGGCAGGCCTCCGTGCTCCTGGAGGCGGGGCTGGTCTGGGTGTTGGCCAGGCAGGCCCGAGTGTGGTGGTGACTGTCTTGCAGGAGCTCGTCACCGCCTGGTACATCGGCTTCCTCTGCCTCATCCTGGCCTCGTTTCTGGTGTACCTGGCGGAGAAGGGAGAGAATGACCACTTTGACACCTATGCGGATGCGCTCTGGTGGGGCCTGGTGAGTCCTGTCATTGGGTCACTGTCGCTTCCCTGAGGATGCTCACCTTGCTTCCTGCCAACCCGGGGTCTGGAAGGGAGACCCAGGGCCTCTGTCTGGCTGAGCAGGTTGGACTCGTCTCTCTGGGGCCACCTGCTGGCCGCCAGTGGCCATGATGGTGTGTGGGGTGGTGGCGTGGTCCCTGGACGCGCTGGTGGGGGTGCAGGTGGGGAGGCTGGGCCCCAGGGAGCCCGTGCTGGGTCATGGGGGATCATCTTCCTTCCTCTTTGTGGGCCACCCACCCGCTCTGCGCCTGTTTCGCCCTGGATTGTGGCAGAAGGGCAGGAAGGGGGGAGGAGGGAGGGGTCCCCAGGAGTCTGTCCTGGGGTCTTCCCTGGTCCAGGGGCCCGACTGTCGTGACCTAGCAGCTTAGTGTTGGGGCTGGGGGGCAGGATCGTCCCCATGGCCTGCTGCCACTGTCTTGGGCTTCCTCCTTCCTGGCCTCCCACCCCTGGTCTATGGTGAGGGACAGAAGTAGTTCGAAAACGGGATACTGAATTGGTAAAGGGACATGAAAATCATCTACATTGTATATTGATAAATTAAAAAATAATAATAAAATAAAATTTTTTAAAAATAAAGAAAAAGAAAGAAAAAGGGATACTGGATCCTCTGGCTCCCCTGTCCAGCACGGTCTGGAGCCTGCAGATCTGCGGCCCTGCTCATGGCCGCCCACCTCCCCAGCCTCACTGCTGCCCGGTGCCTGAGCCCACACCCTTGGCCTTTGCCCCTGTGATTCCTTTGTGTCTGCTGCTTTGCCCAGGCTCCCTGAGGGCACCCCTTGTCACCTGGTGTCACTCCTTCTGGGAAGCATCTTCCTGGACACTTTTGGAAGGACCCCCTCCTGTTCAGAGTGGGGTGGTCGGATCCCCCCAGACTCCCCCCCGATTAGGTCTGGACCGATCTGGTCCCCAGGCTTCTCCTCACCCGTTCCCACAGACGCCCCTTGGGCAGGTGGGTGAGTAGGGACGGAATCTCTTGTCTCCTGGGAGGCCACGAGACTAGACCCCAGACCCATGTGGCCTTGGCCACCAGCCCAGCACTGCACATCCTGAGCCACTGGGAAAGGGAGCGGGTAGCCTCACTATTGTTTAAGCCAGAAAGCAGTTTATTTGTAATTATTTTGTTAATTGCCATGAAGCCTGGGATCCTGTGTCCTCCAATCCGAGCATGTGAGAAGGAGCAGTGGGGAGCCCGAGGCGAGGCACAGGATGGGCCAGGCTGTGGGCCAGGTAGACCTACCTGCACCCATGAGCCGCCTGTGTGTGTCCAGGCTCTGCCGTGGGGTGAGCCTGGTGCCCGGGTGTCCTGTGCTGTGACCAGCTGGGCTCAGGCCCCTTGCTGGGGCACAGCCCATCCTCCCTAAGGCCTTTTGTGGGTAACAGCCTTCTGGTTTTTAACAATTAAATTTTTTACTTGAGTGTTTTTTCAAAGTAATGCTTGTGTATATTGAAAAATGTCAAATCGTTCCTAAGCACCCTGCCCCTCCCAGTTCCCTGCGCGTTTGCTAATCCCAAATAACAACCCTGTTCCCTGATCCCAGCACGCTAATTGCTCGCTTCCTGCTGGGGTAGAACGAGGTTTAGCCCCTCCCCACCTGAGCCCCCTTCTGCTGTCAGGCCCTCGGGGGCCGTCACCAGCATGAGGGATCCCATACCTGCCTCCCTCCCGAATGCCGGCCATCTGTCAGGTCTCCCAGCTTCCCCTCTCTTGAGTCTCCCTTCCTTTTGGAGGGGCAGGTCTGATGGCAGCTGAGGAAAAGTTTCAGGGCAGTAAGTGTCCCACCAGTCTGGCTGGAGGGGTGGAGGCTTGGCCACCCTCGGACAGACGACTTCTCCCTTTCCTCCTGCCCCAGCCCACCCCACACCCAGCCTTCTGTGGGACCAGGACCTTCTGGGATTCCCTGGCTTCCTTTGACTCCCGCTCCCCCACAAACATTCAGACCTGAGTCCACGTCTCACCGCACGCCCGTCTCTCTGTCTCTCTCACTGTCTCCCTCTCTGTCCGCCTCTGTCTCTCTGTATCTCTCTGTCCGTCTCTTTTTCTCTCTGTCTTGTGTCTCTCTGTTTCTCTCCCCTCTCCCATCCTCTTCCTCCCATTTTTCTACCTTTTCATCATTCTCTACTGTCACATATTAAAGTTTTTGGACAGATTGGCAGTAAATTATTGTTTTGGGTCTCCAAAAATATGTTTAGTTTATGTTAAAAAAAAAAAAAAAGTAGATGACCCAGGCAGGTGGTAAACTCTCAACTGAGGAAGGTTTCATGGTGAGAAGTGAGTCTCCCTGGCCTCGCCCTGCCTCCCTTGCTGCTCCTGTGGGTGGCTTTCCAGAACCTTCTGTGCAGGTGCTTGTGCAGGTGGGCTGAGGCACACAGGTCTTCGCACGGCTTTGCCCTCACCTGCCCGTGGCCTCCTGTGAGGCAGGTGCGGCGGAGCTGGTCTCTTCAGTTCACTCTTCCTTCTTGCGTGTTCTGTGCATGTCCCCAGAGCCTGGGAGCAAACCCCCAGAGTTAGGACTCTGGGTCTGTGGTGAGAGGTGCTCCAAAGTGGTGGGGGTGGGACATGCTATCTGCCTGCCCCTGAGCTGGGCACCGGGCTGCACCCCTCCCCTTCTTTGTCTCAGTCCTTGTCCCCCAGGGCCTGTTCTGGGCCCCAGCCAGGGAGACCTTCCTCTCGCCATGACCTGTCCTGAGCCTCCTGACTTTTGGCCTGGTGGCGAGGGGGTGTGCTGTAGCCCCCGCATGTCCAGGACTGAGTGTCTCCACCTCACCCTGTCATGCCTTGTCAGAGTGACCTGCAAACATGTCCCACCTTCGGCCCTTCTTATGGCCAAAGCCCCCCTAACAGGTGCTTCAGTGGGTGCCCTTGGTCACCTGGGGAGACCTGTCCTGACCCGACCTCATCCTTGCCACCACCCTGAGAGGAACTCTAAACTCAAGTACCCCCAGTTTCCCATGGCACCTCCCTGTGGGGGTCCACCCCCTCACTGTCTCCCACCTGCCTCTCCTTCTGGTCACCTGTCCATTCCTGCTGGCCTCCTGTCACCTCCTGGGCCAGGCCTGTTACTTCCTGTCACCTCCTGAGCCAGGCCTCTCATCTGTCATCTCTACTAGAACATGCCCTCTGACCACTCCTCTAACCCCTTCTGGCCTCGACTCACAGGCCCTCCTCAGCAGCCACTGCATGGCCCCCGTCCAGCCCCTGCCTGTTCCTCTGGTCCCCGCTGCACTGCACCAGGTGCTCGCCCGCTGCCCACCTGCCCCAGCCTCCCCTGCTCACCAAGTCTCCACAGCCTCCCCAGTCTCTCCCAATCTGCCACAGCCTCCCCCAGTCTCTCCCACCTCCCCCACGTGCCCCAGTGCTCAGCCCCAGGGTCACTCCCCCAGGGTGGAAGCCGCTGTCCTTGCTCACTGTGCCCGAAAGGAGAGTTGTATCGTTGGTGCTCCTGGTTCCCTTGGGTGTGAAGTGGAAACAGAGTCAGAATGACTCCCCTTCTGGCATGTAAGGAAGAGGAGAGGTTTCGGGGAATTTTGATGGGGCTGCAGGGACGAAGAGCAGTTGATGCTGGCCTTGGCCTCGCTGGGCCCCCTTATGGGTGGCGTGGGATGGGGTGGCCTCTGGTCTGTCCCAGCCCAGGCCCTGAGTGGCTAGCTGGCACACAGCCTGCCCATGGGTTGGGAGCGAGCCCTTTTGTGAGCCCCTGAGGGCTGAGCAGGGGCATTGGCTAAGGGTCATGGGCCTCCATGATGGTCACTGCCGGGCCTGGCTGAGTGACTGGAGCCTGCTGTCCCGCAGATCACTCTGACAACCATTGGCTATGGGGACAAGTACCCCCAGACCTGGAACGGGAGGCTTCTGGCAGCAACGTTCACCCTCATTGGCGTCTCGTTCTTCGCTCTTCCTGCGGTAAGTCTTGCTGCCTTTCCCTCCCTTTGGGGGTCCCACAGCCTCCCAAGGTAACCACAGGGCACCATCTCCTTGGGGAGATGTGGGACAGGAGCAGGGTCCACAGCCGCCTGGGACTGGAGGTGGCAGCTCTGGTGCAAGGAGGTCCTATCCCTGTAGGACGAGAGCCGAGGCTGCCCCAGCTGGTGCCCCCGGGGCTGGTAGCTTCCCTGACACTCCATGGAGCACCCCTCCAGTCCCCAAGCCATGGCTTCCGACTGGGCTCTGTTGGCCTCTGGTAGCTCCTCTTGGTGTGAATGGGACTGGACAGTAGGCTCCCCGTGGCCAGGAGCAATGCTGCCAGTGACCCAGCTCCCTTGTCAGGTCTCCAGAGGCCAAAGGTCCATCTCAGGCAGAAGGGTAGGGGCTCTGAGAAGCCTTCACCATGGCAGGGCAGGCAGAGGCAGTTGGTGTGGGGCTGATGGCCCTCTTGTGCTGGCCTTGCTGATGCTCTGGTGTGCACACCTCAGGGAGGAGGCTCCTCTTTGGGTTCAGTGTAGGCCCCGCCATGCCGCCTGCAAGTCAGAGGTTTCCTTGACCCCAATTCAGAGGGTTTCCCCAGCCTAGTCTCCAGGTGATTAGGGACTGTGGGGTGGGAAGGCGGTACCCACGAGACCCCGGAATGTGTAGGCAAGGGTGGGGGAGGGGGTGTGGGTCTGGGAACATGAACTGATGCTGATGAATTGCGGTGGCATGGGTTCCTGGACAAAGTCTGACCTTGATGAAGTTGGGAGGGGGGCATGGGTCAGCTGGGTGTGGTCTGACCCTGATGACTTGCAGGGCATATTGGGGTCTGGCTTTGCCTTGAAAGTCCAAGAGCAGCATCGGCAGAAGCACTTTGAGAAGAGGCGGAACCCGGCAGCGGGCCTGATCCAGGTGAGTCCAGATGGCCCCCACCTGGGGACCTGTGGAGCCCCCTGTCCTGGTGCCACCTTGTCTAAGGTGGCCATCTTCAGGCATCTCTGTCTGTGGACGGGGCCACAGCCCTTGTCCCTCTGTGGGAACATGTCGGGGAAATGAGGACTCTAATGCAGGTGTTGAGGGACCATTCAGACACCTGTGGTTGCATAGCAGCGACACATATGGTGATGCTAGGGTGGCCCTCGTCCTGTGTGGGTGCCTGCCCCAGGCCAGGCTGTGACAAGTACTGCTAGACCACCCTCCCCAGCACCCTGGGGAAGCAGCTGCATCAGCTTCTGCAGACAGGTCACCTCTCAAGAATCCAAGGAGGTTGTATAGGACACAGTGGCCACTTTGTCATCCAGCAGGAGGTCCCTGAGCCACCCTAAAAATGTGAGCCAGACAGCAGGACTCCTGGGGCCAGACATTCCTGCAGCTTCCCCCAGAGTCCATCTTGGAGTTGACTGGGATTTAGTGCTGGCTGGATGTGGATCTAGCCTCTCTCCCATCTTTCTTTTTTAAAGATGTGGCTCTTGTGGGCTTGGCCCTGGGTCCAGCCTGCTTTTATCTTTGTGTGTGTGTATTTTTCACCATAGAAACTCCAACAGCAATGTTTTAAAATGCAAAGGAGTATAAAGAAGAGCAAAAATGCCTCACGATCTCACTCCACTATTGACAGTTTAAAAAAGCGACTGCAGGTCTGTGTGGTTAAAAGGTTTAAATGGTGCAGGGAAAGCACAAACTGAGCACATGGACCACACCTTGTTCCACTCTTAGCAGTGGCTTGGGCGTCTTTCCAGGGACCAGTCATGCCTCTGTGCAGTCCTCTAAATATTGTTCTCAGGGCAGGGCCACACCTGCCTGCCTGCCCACTTGTGGTGTCCCAGATGCCTTCCGTGTCTGGACACATGCAGCATGTCAGGCTTCAAGCTGTGAGGTGTTCCCTGTGGATGGATGTTGAGGTTATTCCAGGGCTGTAAAACATCACTGGTCACAGGGCAAAGTTTCTGCAGTGGAATTGTGGGTCAGAGGGTCCTTCCTCCAAGAGCAGCTGATCTTGTGAAGTCTGGGGGCCCAGCTGCGTGAATTCCCAGAGCAGGAAGGGATCTTTTTTTGTTTGTTAAGCAGTCCATAACCTGGGTGTGATTCTTGGCTCCCTGAGAGGAAAAGGCCAGGTGGAGAAGTGCCAAGGAGACTCCAGGGCCCTTCATGTTCTCAGGGCACCAGAGTGGTCATCTGTGTCTTTTGGAAGTCAGGATGCTGGCCCCAGCCTTAACCTCACAGCTTTTGTACATGGTCTTGCTGGGAGAAATGCTTCTTCCCAAGGGAACTTACAGCCTCAGCCAGAGCCCCTGAGCTGGGCTCTGAATACCAGTGGGGTGGCGGTGGGGGAGGGGAGCAGGGGGACACACCACCAACCCTGTATCAAGGTCCCCAAGAGTGGGCAGATGCCCTTGTGTTTTTTGTGACGGCCTTGGCCCTGAACCCAGGGTGGGTGTGGGCTCAGACAGGGACCTGAAGAAGAGAAGGGCAGGATGGACAGAACCTGAAGAGTGAGGGAAAGAGGGGGACAAGGAGAAGATACCCCAGGCTTTGGCTTGAATTGGTAGGTCTGTGGTGGGTGGGTGGGAGTGAGAGGGCTCAGGATCAGGAAGCAGAGGGCCCAGAACCACGTCCCAGAACTCCATAGCCTGGTGGAGGGATTTCCAGATTAAAGTGTTGGGAACAGGGATGTCACTGAAAATGGAAGAGTAGGGAACTCCAAAACCCCATCCTACCACTAAAGCAATGATTAAGCTGGCAAAAAAAATGACAGGACTAATTTTTTGGGGACTCTGGAACCTAATAAAAATTTTATAACAGCCAGGGGAATGCTTAATGAAGAAAGAAGCTGCTAAGTTTTAGTAAGAGTGTATGCCCACTCCCCAGATCTGTGGCCACCACAGGGATGGTGGCTGGCATTCTAGGTGTGATTTGCTGGTGTCAGAGGGGATAATATGGACCTTGTTCCCCTCAAGTGGCAGTTGTTTATTTTGACCTCTCTAATGGCTTCCAAAGAGATCAGCTTAGGCATTTGCCCTTGTTTTGTCCACCTCAAAACTTTCTAGTGACTGTAGTGATCTCTGAGTGAGGGTTTGTCAAAAACATTTAGAAGCAAATATACCAGCCACAGCTACCTGGGACAAGGGATAGCAGATGGGATAAGAAACAGACAGATCAAAAAGCCTGGGAAGAAAGAGGCTAGGAAAGGAGATAAAAGGAGAAGTTGGCCCCATTAAAATCCAGATGGCTACACATGTGGCAAGAGTTGGACTCATGCTCAGAAATCACTGAAGAAGATCCTAAGCTTTCACCTCAGGCTGATCTTTAGGCTCCATGCAAGCATGAAGTGAAGGCCAAGGCAAAGTTGTAAATGGCTTGTCTGAGTGTTGAAGGGATGCCCCAACACAGAGCAAATCTGTGAAGACTAAAAGATTATTATTTTTTCCCTCTTTGGTTCCAGGGGTTTAAGGAAGTCTCTGTCAAATCACTAGCTGACTACTAAGATAATGAAACAGAGACTTTATTAACCACACATGACAAAGAGTACAGTCTTTATAAGATAGTTTAGGAAAGTCACTAAACAAACAACTATAACCAACAACAAGCAGCAACAAAAAAACCCTGTGCAAGGAGGATAATCTGATTTACAGAGTTACCACATTATGATATTCAAAACATTCCAGTTTTCAAACAAAAAATTATAAGGTTTGCAAAGAAACTATAAAGCATGGTTCATTCACAGGAAAAGGAAAGAAAAGAAAAGAAACTGTCCCTGAGGAATCCAGGATATTTGTCTTCCTAGACAAGGACTTTAAGTCAACTGGCTTAAATATGCTCAAAAGACTAAAGGAAACCATGAAAAAGAACAAGAACAACAACAACAACAAAATCAGGAGAATGATGTCTCACCAAATACAGAATATCAATGAAGTGATATAAATTATAAAAAGGAACCAAATAGAAATTCTGGAGCTGAAGAGTACAATAATTAAAATGAAAAAAATCACTAAAGGGGATTCAGCAGTGAACTTGGACAGGTAGAAAGAAGAATGAGCAAACTTGAGGATAGGTCAATTGAAATTATTCAGTCTGAAGATCAGAAAGAAAAAAGAATGAAGAAAAACGAACAGAGCCTAAGAGATCTAAGGGACACCATCAAGTGTACCAACACTCACATGTGTGGAGTCACAGGAGAGGAGAGAATGGGGCAAAAAGAATATTTGAAGAAGTAGTGGTCAGAAACTTCCCAAATTTGATGAAAGACATGAATCTTCACATCAAAGAAGTTCAAGAACTCCAAGTAGTGTAAACTCTGAGAGACCCCCACTAAGACACATTATAATCAAACTGTTGAAACTCAAAGAAAAAGAGAGAATCTTGAAAGCAGTAAGAGAGAAGTAATTCCTCACTTACAAGGGATTCTTGATAAGGTTAACAGCCAATTTCTCACCTGAAACTATGGAGGCCAAAAGGCATTAAAGTCATAGAAAACAAAACAAACAAACAAACAAAACAAATAAACAAACAAAACCTCATCAACCAAGAATTCTATATCTAGCAAAACTATCTTCAAAAATGAAGGAGAAATTAAAACATTCCCATATAAACAAAAGCTGAAAGAGTTCAAATTTAGTAGACCTGCCCTACAAGAAGTGCTAAAGGGAGGTCTTTAGGCTGAAATTAAAGAACACTAGACATGTAACTCAAGCCATATGGTAAATACAAAGGTAAATACATAGGTAAATATAAAAGCCAATATTACTATATTTTTGGTTTATAATCCACCTTTTCTTCCTATATGACTTAAAAGATAAATGTATAAGGCAATAATCATAATCTATATTTCTGGGCACACATGTTTAAAGATGTAATTTGGAACAGTAGTGACATAAATGGAGCAGTATACGAACATGGTTTATGTATAAATGTTGAAGCTAAGCTGGTATTAATTCAAGCAGATTGTTATAAATTTAAGATGTTAATCATAATCCTCAGGGAAGCCATTAGTAAAATAACTAAAAAATACACAGAAAAGGAAAAAAGAAGGAAATCAAAATGATACCCTGGAAAAAAGAGATTAAACACTAAAGATGGCAGTAATGGAGAGATTGAGAAACAAAAATGATATGACATATAGAAAGCAAATAGCAAAATGGTAGAATTAAGTCCTTCCTTATCAGTAATTACTTTAAATGTAAGTGGATTAAACTCTCTAATTAAGAGGCAGAGATTGGAAGAATGGATTAAAAAACTATCCAAGCATATGCTGTCTAGAGACTCACTTTGGATCCAAAGACAACAACAACAATAGGTTGCAAGTGAAAGGAAAGATACTCCATGCAAATAGTAATATAAAGAGCTGAGATGGCTATACCAATATTAGACAAAATAAACTTAGGTCAAGAAGTGTTATAAGAGGCAAACAATAATGTATATTGATGAGAGTCAATTCATCAAGAGGATATAACAATTGTAAATACATACACACCTAATAACAGAGCTCCCAAATTATGTGAAGCAAAAACTGACTGAAATGAAGTATGAAATAGTTCAACAATGATGGTTGGAGACTTCAACACCCCACTTTCAGTAATGGAAACATCTACTAGACTAACGACATAGAGAACTTGAACAACACTATGGACCAACTAGACCTAGGAGACAGCTATAAAACAATTCACCCAACAACAGCAGGATATGCATTCTGTATTTCCCCTTTTTGTCTTTTTTACTGACCGGTAATGGGATCGCAACCCTCAGTGTTGCGCCCGCACCGCGCTCAGCCAGTGAGCGGGAACCGGTCTCCACATGGGATCCGAACCCTCGGCGGGAGCGCCTCTGCACTCCCAAGCGGCGCACTCTCCAGTGCGCCACCGGGCCGGCCCAGGATATGCATTCTTTTTAAGTGCACATGGAATATTCTCCAGGATAGA